CTGGGGTGATATGATCCTGGCACCCGTTCCTGCCCGGGGAAGAGGGTCAGACCTGATAATCTGTTTAGGTCCCTTCTAACCCTAAGCACTACGATACTGGTCTGATATCCTGCATCTTCCTTCATTCTTTTTAGCCATGGACAAGGCGCCAACTAAGACAACTGGCAAGCTCCTCCTCTAGATGGAGGCATTTTAAAGAGTGTTGGCAGTCCTGGATACTACTGACCAGAAGGTGCCGACAAACCATTGTGCACCCAGCAAACTGGAAAAAAAATGGGATTACTTTATGGTTCTCTGTCTCCAGGAGCTACTTCTCTTTCCCATACACTCCGCTCACATAATTCTGCAGGGTCCTATTCTGCCACCCTGCACACGCTGGAGGGGAGACTGAGAGACTTACTGGACCATTTTACACACAGTAGGCTCATTTTTCAGCACACTCCCCATCACCACAGGAATTCAGATGGGGCAATCATCTTTGCTCTGAATTTCCAGCAAAGACTAAGATTTGAATACTAATCAATCATGACTCAATCTATCCAAGACAGACTCCAGTAAGCAGTTGGTAAGGATTAGGTCAGCCTCATCCCCTTCCCTATTTAGAATGAACCCTTTATTAAGAAGGAAGAATCATTACACTGAAGACACCAAGTAAAATTCAAAGGGTGCTCTTAATTTGGAAGAGAGATGTCTCACTAAATATTTTGAAAGAAGGAAAAAAAACCACAAAAATTAATTTATGTCTCCAATCCAAACTTTCTGAGTTATGCTAAGGGACATTTACAGAGGCTAAGGTATTTTGTTATCTGAATATGGCAAAAATTAATTAAGTAATTAGTTCAGTCATTTCATTCAGTCTGGGAAACCACATTTAAAAAAAAATGTGGAAGTGAACTGAGTCCAGAGAACAGAGTGAAAAGATCATGTGGGGAGGAGATTAAAAGAAAGGCCATAGAGAAAAGTAGTCCAGGGGAGACACGTGTTCCAACTACAACAAATAAAAGTTCAGGATACGTTTTTTAACTCAAGCCTGGTCCCATAAATGTTTCTTTGCACCCAATTTCTAGCAGAGACTAAGGTTTGAATAAACACCAGTCAACCATGACTCAACCTATTCAAGACAGACTCCATAAGTAACTCGATTCATGAACATAATACCACATAATTCTGTTCAGGCCAAGCAAGACAAAAACTAGAAGGACTTACCTCAGGAAATATTACTTAAAAAAGAAAAAGGGGGTAAGGGGTGTGAACAGAAGAGTAGCTGGAGATTATGGATTCATCACCAATGAAGATGTACAAGGTTAGATTAGATGCCCACTACTTAGGATGACAGCAGGAATACTTTATTATTTCCAAATGCAGATGGTATGATAAAAACATACTGGAAGTTCCAACCTGAATAATTATGATTTCCAGAGATGCAAAGGGTATATTTAAGGAAAAATAAACTGATAAAGCATTACAGCACAATAAAAGAAGAGGAGAGAGGGAAAAAAAGAAAAACATGGCACACTCTCCTTTTCTTATCTATACACCAAAAACAGCACTAGAGTGTTTAAATGAAAAAGGGAAAAACCCCACCCATTTGAAGTAAGCTAGCATGGTAGCTTGACACCTGCACAATCCAATACCATACTTAAAAGCCACTTCTAAACAAGGTTAAGAGGCTTAGGGTAAGGTAGGAGCTCTTCATCCCAGGGCTATCATAGCCTAAAACAGGGGTGGTCAACCTACAGCACAAGTGCCAGAAGTGGCACAGGCAGCCTCTATGACAACAGATCAGGGAGAGGACAAGCAGCACAGTGGGAGATGGGGCAGAAAGCAGACAGCAGATCAAGCAGGATGCACAAAGCAAAGCAGGAAATTGGGCAGGGAGCACAGAACAGGGAGCAGAAAATAGAGCAGGTGATTGGGCAAAGGAAGAAGATCAAATGGCACTCGCAGACTGCACAGCAACTTATGGTATGCCTGCCAAAAAGGCTGTATCCAGTGGCCTAAAACAACGAGGAGGGGGAATGCAGGGGAGAGGGGGGAGGCAAGTCAGGACTCCCCCCACCCCCCATCTGGCTTTGGCTGTCTGCCTCTACCCTGCAGGTAGGGTAGCGTGGTGCGCAGTAATCATAACCAAAAAAATGTGCTCACGTTCCCAAATGCTGCTTTGTGGCCCACTGACAGGTCATTCAGTATTCTCTTTCCATACAGCTTACTGACCTGCTGCGATCCGTCTCCATTCACTATGTGAGGCATCATCGCTACCTCGCCATTCAGCAACGGTGGCAGTTCCAGCGGGATTTGGTCGGTCATCATCATTGTGACATACATTCATGGAGAATTTTCCTCAACCGGCTTCCTGCAACAAAGACGTTTCATTGTTTAACAACAACCTCAAAATCCATTTGTTCTTCACAAAGGTAATAATACCCTGCCCACTAACTCTATTTAAGAAAGTAAAAGTTGAAGATTGAGGAACACTGAACGCATCACTAACAACTGTCCAATCAAGATTATGGATAAATCTGTTTTTCATGTAACAGGTCAGAATTAGCACTAATTTTATATATGACGTCAGTCTTCACTCTTCCCATAATGTTTTCCAAGAATAAAATCCATGAGCTAAAGCTTTCATACCCATGTTACAGCAGGATCTGCTTAGAATTTAGTCTGTTGATCTGTAACAGAAATGCTTTCTCCATACAGTAGTTCTTGGAACCAGTATCCTTTGAATATTTAATATTTGTAATAGATTCTATTACTCTTGACATCCAAGGCACAAGCGAAGTGGTATTAATCCTTAATAGCATGTCTACAGACAACCCGCATTTTTGTAAGCGCATTTAAAAATCCAATTTCAGGAGTCCCCAGTTATTCACAGTACAAGCCATGAGAATGCTTCTTACTCAGAAAACAAACCTGCAAGCAGAAAATTGGAGCATGATGGAAGACATCACTTAAGAATCTATAATGAAACATAGACTACTTTCACGGTAACCCCATCCCCTAGCAGCTAATTACCTGAAGTGTTATATAAGCCTTGCTAAAACGAAGAGGAGAGCACTTTGTAAAAACAAGTCTTATAATTCAGTGTTAATGGTACCATCAAGCTGTTTTATGAGGCAATAATCCAGTTTCTTAATGAATAAACTACAGGACCTAATGTCAAGTAGTTTATCCTAACAAAGACAGCAGATTTTTGCACAAAACCCCAAATAAGAAAGCCGCATGCTGACTAAACAACAATTTATCCACTCACAATCATTCATGAGTATTTTGGGATCCTCTGGCATAAAAGGTACCACGTGAGACAGTAGTGGAATTTCAGGAGAAAACCAAGAAGTAGCAACAACCAGGTAAGGGGCACATACAATACCAAAGAAGTGTCCAGAGGGAAATTTTTGGCAAAGAACAACAGGGCAAACCCTATGTGTGTGGAAAAAGTATGGTGGGATCTAATGTTTGTGTACAACAGGCAGGACTTTGTTCTTTAAAGTCAGGGCCAGAAGAGCCATAAAACGGAACTGCATGGAATTCAGTTTATATATTATGAGGGGTGAGAGTCTGATGAAACCATTCCAGGATTAGACACTCTGGTTCCACAGAGTCTATATACTGCAAACCTGATACTCAGTCC